GTGTTCGCGCGCGCGCCGCGCGCCGCCTGCCCGCTCGCCTTCCGCGTGGAGCCCTTCACCGACTACGGCTCCTCGCTCACCGTCTCGCTGCCCGCCGCCCTGCAGCCGCACCAGCCCTTCCAAATCGTCGTGCGCTACACCACGGCCGACGGGCCCGCCGTGAGTACCGGCCGGGCCCGCCCGAGGGCTGCCCCGAGCCCCGCGCAGCGCCCGGGGCGGGCAGGGGGCTCCGCCAGGGCCCGGGGCCGCGCTCAGACGCGGCTGTGGGGAGCAGGGAGCCCGCGAGGACTCCGGACACCCCCGCGCGTCGCTCCTCCGCGTTCACCGACGTTGCCGGTGCGCGCCGCAGCGCAGGCCGCGCTGAGCGTTTCCCTGCCCAGTTTCTGCTTTCACAGCCCCTCTGCTCCCCTGCGCAGCCAGGCTCACGGTGAAGCCTCCGCTGCCCCCTTCCCATGGCTGTTCCCATTCCCCAGGGCACATCCGCTGCCCACAACCGGCCCTGGYGGCCACCAGCCTCCGTCGGCACTGGTGCCAGGGCTGCGAGCCCTCTCCCTTCCTAGTCTGCCCTGCTCTCTGCCCCTGGGCCAGTTCTCTGGTCAGGATGGTCCCGTCAGTGTTCCCTACGCTTGAAGCGTGTTGTAGCTGCTGGCCAGGAACGTGAAACTTTTAAATCTCCTGCCCCGACTGAATTCTTCAGGACAAGTTACATAATCCGCAAATAAATCACTTTTCCTCTGTTTTTTTGCCAGATGATTACAAAATCAGGCCTTATGCACCTCGGTTTACATTCTAACGAGTAGGAGTCAGAAGCTTTTAAAGAGCAGAGGGAGGTTCCACTTATTGCTACACATTATCCGTGGAAAAAAAAAAAAAAGACGAGGGAAGGCCACAGGCACCCATCTAGATGTGGCCCTGGGAGGTGCTTGCTCATCTCTGAGGAGCCTGTTTCAGTTGCGAAATATCTTATAAATTCTGTTGCTTGCTTTGAATCCCTGATACTTGGAACCAACTTCTGACCTTTTTAGATACTATCTGGGTGGGCTTTGAGTTTTAAAGAGGATTTCATATCAAAAAAATATGAATGTAAGCGCCAAGATGTCAGCTCCTTCTGTTGCTCCGTGGTCTATCCTAGTTGGCAGTTACACTGAAATGACCCGTTACGTGGCTTATAAATCTCTTTTGGGAAGCATCATTCCTTTCACAGCTTTGATAACTTCTATCTTACCTAATAGGACTCACTCCCAGTCTCCTGGTTTGGTGTTACTGTTGCTTTGGTCCAAACCAGCAAACCTGTGCATTGGTAAAACGAAGAGCAAGATGATATTCTGACACTCGGGGTGCATATGGTGCATACCCGGGATTCTAATCCATTTTTTATATGAGAATAGTGTTTCTTTTTACCTCTGAATTCATCTTGCTGTTTCCTGGCACAGTGCTTTCCTRTAGCTTCTCTGCACCGAAGAGAAGCATTGGGGCTGCCTGTCAGGGACCGCGCTGCTCTCGGGAGATTCTGTTCTTTATCTTCGCACAATTCTCTGGAAAAACCTACTGGTTTTGCCCTCCGAATGCTTTGTTTATGGGGGAAGGCAGTGCAGTCTGATGTAGCTGTGCCCTGTAGAATGACTCTGATCTGGCTTAGCTGAGCCCCCGGCAGTGCCTAGTACTGTGCTTCCCTCCWCTTGTACAAGTTGCTTTATTTCAGCCTGGCCTGGGTTTTCTCCTGGGTTTTGCCAGCTCTGCTGATGACCATCCTGCTGGTTGCATCAAGGAATGATCTTAGATGTGTCTGAATCCTGATCCGAGGCTTTGCTTTGAAAGAGATGTGAGAACTGCGGAGCACTGATGTGCTCGTTCAGTCTCACCTGGCTTCAGCGCGCCCTCCCCTTGACCCTGCGCGCAATCCAGTGCAAAGGTTCCGCATCGGAGGATTTTTTCCATTCCCCCTGTTGTTTGTCTTGCTTCCTTGGATCAGATGTGAGCTGCTCTTCACCTGGGCTTGCAAAGTGCTTGTTGTGCCTTTAATGGCACCTATGGCTTCAGCTGAAAGGAAGCTGCAAGGACCAGTGTCAGAAGATCATTGATTTGATCATTGATCAAAGTCAGGGTATGTGCTGCCTGTTCCAAGTGATTCTCCAAGCAGAGGCAGGCATGCTTACTCACAGAAACTGGGCCACCTTTTCTAGCTTGCATATATTATTGTAGATACTGGCAAAACATTCGTGCTTGAATAGCACCTGTCCTAGTCCTTAATGTTTCTTGGAGCACTTTAAGCCGTATTTTTGGCTCCTGAGCTTTTTGGTGCTGTTTTAGCGCTATTTGTCACTGCTGTTTTTTCAGCCTAGTGTTGCCCTTCAATGCATATGAGTAACCCGTGTGTGTGTAGGGGCGTCCTGGTTTGTGTTCACACCTAGTGCATTTCCTTGCAGCCTTTTCTCTTTTCTCTGTACAAGTGAAGCAAGTTTATGGTGTCAGACCTTTCTCTTCTGCAAGTTCTTTCTTCTTGGGTCTTTCTCTGAATATGATCTTTTTATGGCAGGGTTTGCTTTCTTTGGGAAGCTTAGCACCCTTTTGGGATCTATAAAATAGTAAATTAATGTTCAGTAAAGATATTACTGGCAGCAGGACCAATAGAGAGTAGTCTGTTTAAAATTGGAACCCTGTTGCCTTAATAAACTTGGTTGGCGTTATTGGACTGCCCATTATTTCTCATGTAGAGAAAGGAGCCAAGATCTTTATTGTTTGATGGACGCCGAGAGACAGCTGAGAGATTAAATCTGCCTTTCACAGAGCATTCCAGCTCCCTGTGCTGTTAGCAAGCCACGTGCTCCGTGCGTCACCTTTTCACTGCAGAAATCCTAAACGTTGTGGATATGTCKTGGGCTGCAGGCCCACTTGGAGCAGGGGTGTCGGTGAGAGCAGCCCAGCTCCTCCTTCTTCTCACCTGCCTCTTACTTCTCAGTGCTGTGGATATTCTTTACTCAGACTTTTTTCCTTTCCCAGAGAGAAAAATCCATGTGCGTCTCTTTTCCCACTGTGTCGTGCCTCTGATTTGGCAGTGGATATATTAACAGCAATGCTCTTTTCTTTCCATGACAGCCTTAAATGCAAACCCTGGCCTGTTCTGCTGTGAAAAATGGTAACGTTTCCTCATCCTTATGGTTTAGCAAGAAGGACATCCCTTTCTGCAGGGCTGGAAGCTTCCCTGTTGTTCCKTTGGAGTTGTCCTGATTCCTTGGTCCTCCTGGAATGACTTGCTCTTTGCTTGACCTCTTCTATCACATTCTCTACATCTCAGATGTGCAATTTACATTGTCATCAGCTGGAATGGTCCGTTTTTTCCCCAGCTGGAATGGTCTATTGTTTCCCACTGGAGTAGAAGCTGTGGCGTTGCCTCTCTTCAGAGTAGCTTGGTTTGTAATATGCAGGTAGTAACAAGGAGAGATTTTAAATTGAAAGGAGCTCAGCTAGTTGCCTCTTGCATTTGCCAGWTTCACGTAAAAGATTGTCATCTAAGCCATTAAAAATGATGTCTTAGGATGGTGCATTATAAAATACGTGCTGCTTTGCAGTGTGTGAACAGGAGGAAACCTGACCCGTCCAAAGCCACCTGTTTTTCAGCAGAGGGACTAAGAGACAGTTGTTACCTAGCAGTTCTTGTGAGGTATTTTAACATTTGAAACAGCTGCTCTCCTGTATAGGTGAAAAACTAGATGAAGATGATGACCACGTGTTCCTAGAGGGCACACAGACCCCTCTATGGCCCCAGATACTGCTGTAGCCCTCCGAGCTGCTCCTGCTGCTCATCCTCCTTTCCCAGTTCCTGCTTCGACTCATTTTCCCCAGTCCTAGTCCTGCCTCTGTCTGGCAGCRTTGCCTGGTCTATTTATATTACAGGTCTATTTATATTGTTTCAGGACAACTTTCATCATTGTTCCAAGTGCATCTGGAAAGAGAGACTGAGGCTTGCAGCAGGCGTTAGGAAACAGGGAAAAATACTTCATCCTCTGCAAAACATTTTCCTTCTTGGCTCGTGGGACTGCGACTGGCGCTTCATTTAACTTCAGCCAAATGTCAGATAAGGGGTGACTGGCTGAAAATAAATTCTCTGTAATTTATGGAGTTTCTTGTAAACAAGAATCAACTTCTTGGTTCCTTTTTGCTTCCTGCTTATGTTTTCTTGGTCAGAGAGAACTTCCCCTTTATCTCTCTGCTTTAAAGACATCGTCCATCAATCCTTTTTCCTTCCTACTCTAGTGTTGTAACTGAGTTCTAGAGGCATCTTATCTCTGTTTCCTTTGCTGGCCTTTTCTGTCTCTCAGAAAGTAAAGGAAGCAGAACCTTTTGAAGGGGACTGTTCAGCAAAGCCAACAAAACGATTGTAAATTGTGCTGGGAACACAAAAGGGCTGGTCAGAGGTGCGTTCCTAAAAGCTGGCAATGGGACAGATCTTTAACATAATATTTTCAGAGCTTCCTTTTTGGATCCTCAGCTCCCAGGATGCGAGTGAGGCATTTGTTTGGCCTGCAGGATTGCAGCAAGAGGGGCTATCTTAAAACAAATCCCAAGTACAGAATATTGCTCTGAGACTATTTTTTACTTTTAAGTGAAATTTCTGTTTTTTTKGGGGCTCCTCACCTGAAAAAAAACCCCATTTTTCTAGTGGCAGTGTATGAGGAAATAGTTGTTCATGTGAATGCATGTTCCGGGGAGAAGCTTCAAGTTCCAAGCAGGTRATTTTGATAACAGATCTGTCCCCAAATGTCCCCAATATCATATTGTAGAGAGAATGCTCGTTGCCATGAAGTGCAGGTGTCCATGGAGTGGGAGCTTGGCTGTGGAATAGCACATGGATTTGAACGGTGGTGGTCCTGGCTCTCATATATATGTGAGGTAACATATGGCAGGAGAGGATGCTTTCAAAGGGGCCAATTTCAGGTGTGCGGCATTGAAACAGAAAAGTAATTTTAAGTCAGTTTCTGCTGGAACAGGTGATTTGAGGGAGGCTCATGGTGGTGTCCGAGAAGGATCTAAAGGCAGAGGAAGAAGAACCTGACTAGAATAACCTTGTAGGATGGAGTGRGAGACAGAAGCCTCTGATATTTAGAACATGCAGGCGTTAACTGGGGATAGTAGGGGACAAAACAATACTATGCCATTAAACCAGGAGCAGGCAGAGCACTCAGGCTTCTCTTTCCTAGTATTTCATTGCTTTCTCTTTGAATCAGAACTGAACTAGTGTCTGTGCTAACTGCTGTTCCTTAAATTTAGATTTATTGGCCACTTTGATCTAAGAATTTAGCAGACTGAAAGGCTTTATTCCTTCTGCTTGACTCTTCCTAAGATTTCTAGTATTCCAGCTTTATGGGAAGTTTAATAATAGTTGATATTTTCCATAGAAATTCATCTCCAGATTTGTAGGATTATAAGAAAATCCTTGTTTAAAATTGTTTAAAATTCCAGTCCTTCAAAGTTGAGGGYAAGGAGCGTGTAAAAGCTCAGATACCACATTTCAAATAGAAAAAACACACAAAAAGGCAATATGCTGCACTTCATACTATTCTTAATCTCTTCTAATGATTTGCTGAAGGCCCCAATGATTATTTATTTGCTGTGTAATACCAAAAATAGAGACATGCTCAGTGTGTGGGGTTTTTTGTTTGCTCTTTTTTTTTTTTTTTTTTTKTGACCACCCAGCATCTCTTTATCCCTTGTGTAAAAAGAGGCCTCCAGTGTCCCTGACCAGATGTTTCTTGCATATGCTGCCTCTTTTGCATAGTGGCAAAATATTTGGTGCTTCAGCCAGAAGGGCACTCTCAGGGTCACAGATAATGTTGTGTACGCTCTTCGGCCTCCTATTTTTTTAATTTTTAATTTTTAATTTTTAATTTTTAATTTTTAATTTTTAATTTTTAATTCTTTTTATTTTTTTTCAGCTTGTGCTACCTGACCCCCCGTATTCCTGTTCATTGAATAATAACATGAAGATATTCAGGGTACTCAATTCCAGATGAATAAGAGCTCTTAGGGATAGCTCTTAGGGAGCTCTTATTAATCCAGCAAATCAATATAGCAGAAATAGGGGCTGGAAGATGCTGTGTTGTGCAGCACCACTCAGTGTTCAGACAGTGCAAAACCACAGTGAAGCAGCAGCAGKAGGAAGGCTTCTTAGAGTGGAAAAAGTGCCCTGTGCTACATATGCACCTGGGGACCTAGTGGTTAGCAAAACGGATGGGGAATCTGTCCTCCCTAACAGTCCTCTTGATTTCAGCTCATCCCTCTCTGCTTTGTGCCTTTCCCTCACCTCTTTGCTGTGCCGAATTCCAACAGATTTGGTGGCTGGATCCGGAGCTGACGTATGGCAACGCCAAGCCGTTCGTCTTCACGCAGGGCCACTCCGTGTGCAACCGCTCTTTCTTCCCCTGCTTTGACACACCAGCAGTGAAATGCACCTATTCAGCTACTGTTAAGGTAGGTGAAGTGGTTAATCGGATGCTTTGCTGCCCTTATTTTGAGAAAGTATGTTGTGTATGTATGCATTATGTAAAATATTATATTAGTTATGGTAAAAAGTTATATAAATTATGGGATTTTTAGATTTCCTAGCCTGGCTCTCCAGACAAAAGCAGAGTAGTGTCGTAAAAGTGACTGGGTTGTCTATTGAACTTGGGTCTTGCATTCTCAGAACCCCACCCTGACAGAATAACCCTGAAATGGATAATATAAAAGGAGAATTGGGTCGGTGACTTCCAGTAGTGGTTACTGATGACAGTACTCAAATTTTAAATAATTGTTTATATATTTAAATAGTTCTTGAGAGGACAAAACACTTATTTATGAAAGTGATAGCAAATAATATTTTATTTTGGGTAGATAATGTAATGATTTCCCAAACAATTAAGCAGTAGTATTTGGCTGGTCCATTTTCACAGGGGATAGTTTGTGGTACAAAAAGCACAGAAGCTTTGCGTTTTATATATTATCTAAATGATTGGATTTTGTCCATTTCTAGAAGGATTTACAGTAAAAAAGAGAAATTGATGGTACTGCCTCTCAGTTGTGATTTTTGAGTGAATTGGTGTGTATGACTTTGTTTCTTCAGGCTCCAGCAGGCATCCAGGTGCTGATGAGTGCTACTCAAAGTAGCTACTTAGAAGAGGAGGGTGTATACCAGTTTTACATGGAATATCCAGTTCCTGCCTACCTAGTGGCCCTGGTGGCAGGAGATCTTATACATGCAGACATAGGTCCAAGGTAAGATTTACAGCCAGTTGATTCTGCTTTTCAGGACTCTGTGGGGTGCTGTGAGGCTGTTTGGGATAAATACTTGAGTTCTACAAGTACTACAAGTGAGAATCCTTGGGTAAAGGAACAGATGGGACCRGGAGCTGTGACCCTTTGGAGAGCTTAACTTTATTTGGATGTTAAAAAAAAAAAAATTACAATATTGCTCTGTAGGGTGAAAGAGATTCCTCTTTCATAGATAGATCTCATCGTCTACTGTAGTCATTACAGCTGCTTGCTTTATTGCCTTCTGTGTTGCCTATATTCAATKTTCTTTGAATCAATGATCATCTTTCACTGTGAATTCCAAGAGCGTTAGCCTAAAGAAGGCGGATTGAGGTGAAACTCCTTAGCAGTATTGTCCTTAGCAATGTACATGGGAATTTGGCAAGAAGGCAGGTTATTCTGTATGAGAGAGAAYTGATTTATGGAAGTATCCCATGATGTTTTCTGTTTTGTGACAGGAGCAGAGTGTGGGCAGAGCCTTGCCTGCTGCCGACAGCCATCAGCAAGCTTTCCGGCATGGTAGAGCGTTGGCTGAGCRCTGCAGAGAGTCTGTATGGGCCTTATATATGGGGAAGGTGAGTTGAAGCCTCCCAGGAGGGCATACTGGGGACAAAGCAACCTAAGAAATGATGGTGCTTCTTCCTTGTGTTGGTAATAACAGGAAAGTCAGCTTCTCATGGGTGACGTTGTAGTAGTCAGAAACAAACTCCGGAGTGTTGGCTTTCCCCTTGGCAGAGGGGAGCATGGAACTGGAGTGGTGTTCTGCTGGGAATGGRGGGCAGAAATGGGGCATTCCTAAACACTGCATCTTTCCTGAGGAGGGAAGTTTGTTTTTACTTGAACTATAGTGTTTGTGATGTAGATCCAACACTTGGCTGTGCAAGTATGTATATGGCCAACACATGTAGATTAAACTTAGTGATTCTGGCTTTTGGACATACAAATTGTGATCAGTTTACTTACGTGAAGGGAGCCTGATGCTTCTAGTAACTTTTGGACCTGCTGCACATGAGAAGAATATCTAGTCTTATGTCCAAAGCTGTGCGGCTCCTTGACTAACAAAATAAAATCTGTGATCCACTGATCAGACGAATTAGGCCCCATTGGCCTAGAAGGTTTAATTCTGGACTTGCAGAAACTGTCAGAAGAGCTTTCCCTTATGTCCAAAAATTGTTTCTGTGAACGTCTTTTGAAATAGCTGTAACTTACCTATCTTCTCTCTCCCTCTTTTTCTCTCTATCTGTCTCCCTCTCTCTGTAATTTCAGATAYGACATTGTTTTTCTTCCTCCATCCTTCCCTATTGTTGCCATGGAAAACCCATGCCTGACCTTCATCATCTCTTCCATTCTGGAGAGCGATGAGTTTCTAATAATTGATGTCATTCACGAAGTTGCGCACAGCTGGTTTGGAAACGCCGTCACCAACGCGACCTGGGAGGAGATGTGGCTGAGTGAGGGGCTGGCCACGTACGCCCAGCGCCGGATCACCACCGAGACCTATGGTATAGCTGCAGAAGTGTTTTGCCTTAGGATGTGTCTAACCATAACTGAGAGGTGGCTGGAGCAGATACTTGCCTTGGGAGCTGGGAGAGTCTGTAGGAGGCTGCTTTGCTTTGTTCTGGAACGTGCATGGCCCTAGACTTTGCACTGATCGTCTTGGAGATGTAGGATATGAAGCTTGGCTTTGGGTGGATTCAGTACTTGATATGCAGGGCTTATTTGAAAGAGGGCTTATTTGAAATGTGTATGGTATTATAAGAAGCTTTGCAGGAATTTTGCAATTACAGACACCGGGCAGGGGTTCATCCGTCAGAGCAAGGTGAGTAGAGGATGCTCCAGAGAAAGACGTAAGAACTCTTATTATAGTTACATAGGGAAATAACTATCCTCTGAACAAGTATCTTTCTAATAATGGTTAGCTAGTGGTTAGCTGCTGTTGGAAAGAATGATGGTATCAAATAAAATGTGTACGCCTGCCTAGCCAACTCCTTATGTATCTGGGGCTCTCTGTAGAGTTGTAAAACCCAAACTTTTACRCTTTGTATCAGTGAATTTACAGGTCATTGGGTGGAAGTGTCTTTAGAATATATAAACTGTTCTTATTGCCTTTCAGTGTAATGGGACTTTTCTTGAAGTGATTAATAGGAATGTATGTTTTTCTACTCTGTCCTGACTTTTTTTCCTAGAAGTCTATGCCATATGTATTGTTAACATGTTTTCTTAAATGACCATATTTTAYTTCATCTTCCTGAAAATCTTAACAGAAGGAGTGTTTAGAAGGATGTCTTTGTTTATTCATGTATATGGTTTTTGGAGATGAGATATGACAATGCTGAAATTGTAGAGAACAAAGTGCTATGAGCATATACGGAGGCATTAGACAGTATAGCCTTTAAAAGATGTTGCATGCTGAGTAATTCCTAATGTTTAGGACTCTCTTCTATTAAGTCATGTTGTGTTATRTATGACAGTGATATGAATAGGTCAAAAGATACCTTTGGGTACATATTCTTATATCATCTATCCCATCTTAGCCTCTCTCTGGCATTAGGGCCTGTTCTCTTGAAAWTTGAAGCTGGTTGCTTGAAAAAGAAGTTGTTTAGGAAGCTGAGAACTGTCTCTTGCTGTGTCGTTCTTTATTTAACTCTTTTTTTTTTGTTCTGCAATCTGTTTTATTTCCAAATCTAAATCTTGTCCTTTCTGAAGTCATTTCTCGAGTGTCTTCTGCTGCTAATAGAAAGGCATCTGTGTAATGGCATTGTTTACAGAAATAGGAGTCTAGTGACCACCACAGCCCTGGATCCTACCTAATCCTCCTCCCTATTTCTACCTTGAAATAATCACCCTAAATACTGTCTTGGTTCTTGCTTCCTTCCAAAAGCCAGATCTGTCCCTTTCTTCCCCATAGAGAATCTTCCATCTTACAGACATATTGATTCTTCATTCTGATTCTGTTTATGTCAGCTTCTTATGTGCACAGTGAGTCTGAGATCTATGTAACTAGCACTATCAGTGAAGTTGAAGATTTAGCAAAGAAAGCTGTGCTAATGATCCTGGATGTTAGGCATTTTCTAAAACTTAATCCATTTCTCAAACTTTTCTGTCTGCAATRGGTCTCTTGATTTACAAGTGTAGAACAGCTTGTTTTGACTTGAGAGTTAAAACACTTTTAGCAGCATGGAACGTGCTATGTGCAGTTAGAAGAGGAAGAGTAGCCAGCCCAGCTGCTAATGAAATGCTGATGAGTGGATAGTGAAAACTGGATGATTCAGTATGGCCAAGATGCTAGCTAAAGCTTCAGAGTTATGTCAAGGATCTTTAATAGACTTGCTAAGTCCAAATCCTTTTCTATTTGCACCCAAGAGGTAACATTCTCTTAATATCCCTGACACTGAAAATGGAAACATAAAGAAAATACCTACTATTGTACAACTGATACTACTTTATATAGCAATGGTTACCCCTTGCAAGTTACCAATACAACAGTTGTTCCGATGCTGTTCTGCTTATGTTGCAAAAATTGATAGGAGGATATCAGGGATGTAAATTGCTTGCATAATTTTCATGCTGCTTAATTCAGTACAGGCTGTGGCACAAGCAGAATGAGAACATGCACTGTTTCAGGTTCTGATTTCCATTACAAATTGCAAGGAACTTTTACAGTCAGTTTCCCTGCCATTAATGTGATTCTCACTTGCTATTGTCTTTTATTTTTTTCAGTAGTCAGTATTTTGTACGTGTGGTAATTCAGCAGTTGTTTTTCCACAACTAACCTGTTTCCTTTTGGGACAGGAGCTGCCTTCACGTGCTTGGAGACTGCATTCCGCCTTGATGCTCTGCACAGACAGATGAAGCTCCTTGGAGAAGACAACCCTGTGAGCAAGCTGCAGGTTAAACTGGAGCCAGGTACTGCTGGAGCTACAGTACATAGAATTTCCATATACACCATATATGTGGTGAGATATGGACCAAAAAAGAGTTATTTTTACATACCATTTGTAAAAGAAAGAAAAAAGAAATTAGTTTATAAAACAGTCTAAAAAGTGAATAAAGGATCTTGCCTTCAGTGAGCTGAATGTCCTAATTTTCAACTTCTAAAGTAAGGATGAAATTTTACTCAAATTTTGCTAACTCATCTATATGAATATTCTATTTAAAAGTAGAATGTGCAGACTCCTTGGACAGAAACAAAAGGTGAAAAACTTCTGTAGTAGTTTATCAGATGTTTTCAAGTTTGGGTCTGAAAGAAAGGTTTTGTTTTGAAATTCTAGATGTGCTTTCAGTGTCTYCTCATTTTAAGTGGCTTGTTCCATAGGGAATTAATATTTAGTCTACAGTCATTGATTTTTTTCAGCTGTATGCTTGGACCGCTTCTCAGATGACACTGAGTGGTAAATTAAATGTACTGMTAATAGGCTTGTTTTGCTTTTAAGTCACTGTACCTCAACTATGAGCTCCCTAGAGAGCCCACACATGTAGAAGGGTTAGAAATTAGTGTCCTTGTTTAAGTGTTTTGTAATGATGCTGCTTTCTCCTTTCAGGTGTAAATCCTAGTAATTTAATGAACCTCTTCACCTATGAGAAAGGCTACTGCTTTGTTTACTACCTGTCCCAGCTCTGTGGAGACCCAAGGCACTTTGACTCCTTCCTAAGAGTTAGTATCAATACATACCTATAACACCTAAAATGTGCTTCTCTTGAGATTTAGAGTTGATTTGGTTTCAAGTTTTGTCACTGTGACTAAATGTCATGGTGATTAAGGGTGAAGTAAAATACAAATATATCTGAGATGGAAGAATAGTGTGGCCCCTTCTACCATGCTGGGATGATTCTCTCAGCGCATGCACCCATGCTCTTTTCCATCTCAGATTCTGAGCTTATGAGGATGCGAAATACACAGAAGTAATATTTTTCTGTGTTCTAAATAATTAAAAATCCGTTTCAGCCCGGATTGGTTATGGCTGGAATTATGTGACTTTTTTTGATACTAAAAATTCTCAGCATTTGCTTTTTAAGCCAAAGTGAACAGAAAACCAACTCCCTGCAAAAGGCATCGTTTCCTACCTGGGGGCAGATTTGGTATCTTGGAGCACATTTGCAAAAKCCTTTTGAAAATTGTCAGCTATTGATTTCTTTTTGAAAAGTGACATAACTCATAGCATTTTGCTGCATGCATTTTTTCTTCTGCATTTTCCATCCATCCCCTGCTCTGTCCATCTCGCCTACATAGTTACATCAATATCACTTCAGCCCATAGTCTCTGTGAATAATATGATAGCAAGTTGTGCTCCCGACTTCCTGCCCTCTATGTTAGTGTGTCATTGATCTGGATCAGAAAACARAAAAGTCTGTATTTGACTCTCAGTATGTATGTTACTACCTTATGTTTTTTTCCTGTTATGGTTCTTTCCCCATCTTACAGTCAGAGGGGACGTTTACTTGATTGAAAACCCTGACCTGCCCTCCAAGTGCCTGTTAATCCTCTTCTATCCATTTTTTATTATTATTACGTACAGCGGATCTCCATCAATTGAAAGCTTTCTTCTAGCCATACCGTGTCATTTATGCTTTTTCAGGCCTACATTGAGAAATACAAATTTACCAGTGTGGTGGCTCAAGATCTTCTGGATTCCTTCCTGAATTTTTTTCCGGAGCTGAAAGAGCAATGTGTTGAGAGCAAAGCAGGTAGGGAGGAAACTTCTTAGCCAACTGCAGAAACTGTAGAAACTCTGGACGATAAATTTTGTGCTTGGCTTAGAGAATGTGTGAACAAATACTAAGTTGGAAGCAAACAAAACCCCTTGGCAGGAGCCAAATGTTTACGTTAAAATCGGTTGTGATGATTTAACGTTACTGGCTCTGTGTTGGGGAATGAGAATATCTTAAATTGCCACACAGTTTCAACCCGAGTGTCCTTTGGTTAATGTTCTGATTGATTTATCTCTCACTCTGCAGAGAGATCACTGTACGTGACATTTACATATGTTCAAGTGGAAATCATCATTATTACCATGGAAGATGACAATGGGAATTTGTAATTAAAATGYACTGAAATTTCAGTGCATTTTAATTACAAGAAAYATGCTTTGTAATCTGTTTAGTTCCCAAGATCCTTTATCCATGTAAACTCTCTTCCACAGTTACGTCTCTCTTGCTGTCCTGTCCTTACARCCTCTCTTTGTGGGTAGATTTGCAAAGATCTGTAGGCTACCAGAAGATGATTAGCCTCTTTTCTGAAAGAAGCAAGATGACTGTGATCACACCACGTGTCTGCCTTTGCAAATCATCATCAAACTCCTTTGGTCAGTTTAAATCAAATTGGCAGTGGAGGACATAGAGCTGTACTTAGTTTCTACAAGCTTTGTGGAAGCTGCCTGCAGAGCCATGTGGATTAATGCTCCTGCTGTGGTAAAGGCTGCAGCGTGAGCTCAGCCCTGCTGTGTTTAGTTTGGCCTCCTAGCTGACCAACGAGAGAACCAGTCTTTACTAATTCTGCCAGGCTGCTGTTCAGGGGATGCAGGAGAGAGGAGTCTAGGGGAGATGGTGTGGAACTAGAAGGAACTAGAAGGGTTATAAAGGGTAGGAAAGCACTGAAGGAGCAGATAGTCAAGGAGGACTGTATGTTGGAAAACAGGCTCTRGTTCTATTACTTATCAAGAAAGTTTTTTAGTTGATGGTACAGTGATGGTTTAGTGATGGTATAAATGAACCCAAAAATTGCTTGTATTTTTGCTGTTTGGGGTAGATGAGATTTAATCAGCTCTTTCGCCTCCTTTTATTATGAACTAGATAATGTCCTGATTAAATTTGGCAGAGGTTTTGCTGGCGCTTCCCCAGGTGTAGTATAGACTACCCTGATAAATCTGCCAAGAACCATTGGGGCTTTCTCAGAATCCCGCTTCTGGTGTGACACTGTAACTACAAAAATGCTTTGCTATCATTAGAACCTCTCTATAAAAGTGTGCAGAAGCCGTTCTAAACCCGGAGAYTCCCCAGCCACCTGTAGAGACTACTGCTTCACACATTTTGGTGTTCCTTATTCCAGGGCTGGAGTTTGAACGTTGGCTCAATGCTACAGGACCTCCGTTAGCTGAGCCAGATTTATCTCAGGGATCCAGTCTGACCAGACCAGTTGAGAATCTCTTTAAACTCTGGACCACTGAGCCGCTGGATTCTGCTGCTGCCGCCAGCAGTGCTGACCTCACTAAATGGAGGACGTTTCAAACTGTGCTGTTCTTGGACAGATTGCTGGATGGGTCACCACTGCCACATGGTAGGTATTTGATCAGAATGGTAGAAAAGTATTTCTGAATTAAAGACTTGGATTCTATAGTTTATTTTGTTCAACTATGACCAAAAAAAAAAAAAAAAAGAGAATTAAAAAAGTACCACCACCCCAAGTGGAGTTTTCAGTCATTCTCTAAWGACTCCCAAACTTGACAAAATATGTCACAGTAATATATTCTTTATGTATCTGCTCTCTTCAGCGGTGATAAAAAAGCTTTCGGAATGTTACTCCTCTCAGCTGGACTCCATGAATGCAGAGATCCGTATCCGCTGGCTGCAGATCGTAGTCCGAAATGACTATTATCCAGACCTTTACAAAGTCCGTCGCTTCTTGGAAAACCAGGTACTAACTGCTGGATTAAAATCACTGCAGCTCTCAGTGCATGAGACATGTGCATGAGACATGCGACGTGAAAGACCTTGGAACTTCTGCTTCCTGGCCAAGTGTAGCCCAGGTGTGTTGCGAAAGGGCCGAGCATGGCTCACCTGCTAGCGGGTGGGGAGGAATGGGCAGATGTTATTTGAATTGCCTACCATTAATCTCTGCTTCTCTAGCCTAACTCAATACCCTCATCCGAGCTCTGCCCAATGCATAATCTTTTTTTTGTGTGTGTTGCTTTGTAGCAGCCCTGGCTTTCTAGAGCAGATTTTTTCACAATATTGAATCACATGATTTTTTTCTTTTTTTTTTCTGTGAGTATTTATATGTCAAGCAAGGCTAGGGCTCATGAAATTCCTTTCAATAGTTGTTTTGTTGKGTAGGAGCAAAAGGTTAATGCAGGCATTTGCTGTGGCTTGTTCTCCCTGGGCTTTTTAGTAATTGTCATTTGTGGCAATAGCGCAGTCTTAGAGAACAAGTGCTTTTTATTATCATTTGTAAAAGTTGTTGTATTAAATTTATTTAGAACAGGCCTGTCCACGTTGTGAAGAAAGGTGATGTTTGTCTCCAACCTGAAGTCATTTAAGGCTGTCTGAGTAGCTGTAGAATGGCTGAATCTCTTGCCTTTCACTGAAGTGGTATTATCCAGTTTTCCTTTTTTGCAGATGTCTCGGATGTACACAATTCCACTTTATGAGGACCTTTGCACTGGCACCCTGAAGTCTTTTGCCTTAGAAATTTTTTACCAGACCCAAAACCAGCTGCACCCCAATTTGCGGAAAACCATCCAGCAGATCTTATCCCAGGGCTTGAATCCGCTTCCTGCCATAGACACTGCAGCAGTCACTACAGACACACCAGCAATGGTGCTCGAGGACAAAGTCTCAGAGGCCACTAACGGTGCCATTTCACTCAGGGATGTTAATGTGTCTGCTTAGATCATCACCAGCTCATGCCAGCCATGAAGCTTGAAAATGGGGACAGGAACAGAGGAAGGATGCAGTGTGTCACCTCTTTCCCTCAGCCCTGCAGCTGCCGTGTATTGGTGTAACTGGATTTCTTTTCCCAAAACACAAAACAAATGTGCCTTCAAGTACACAGCATGTGACACTGCCAGGCTTCAGAGATCTCCTTCAGCTGTGGGATGGATGTTTTGGGTTGGTTTGTACAGAGCAGGGACACCGGGGTGGTTGTTTCTCCAGGGAAAGTGGATTCCCGAGGCTCTTCGGGAAAGTGGATCCCCTCTCATTCCCGAGGCTCTTCGGGATGATTTCTCTGAGTTTCCTTTGTCTGAGGCTACTGAGGCCCATCCTGCTTGCTGTGTGTATGTTGCTGGGGAGTGTATACGTATCTGCTATTATCCTGATATTTGGAGCAGGGGTCTGCAAAGGAGAGACTCAGGAATTTTAAGTGGCAGGAAAATGTTTTCATGTTATGCTCCTTACTGTGACAGAAGTGTTGTGATTTGGGAGGTAGGGGACTAATGCTTAAATAATTGAGTAACTAATTTTAAATGGTGCCTGGGTTTTTTCCCCAGATGGAGAAATAATAATGTTATATATATATACATATCTATATACATGACTATATAGATGTGTGTATATATATATATTCATATATATATATATATATATATAAAAAGAGCAGGGAAATTTTATAATGGATTTGAAATCCTTCATAATTAACTCTACCCTCATTTGCACTCATTGTGACAAGCAATAATGAAACATTTAAGCTCAAATTTTCAGAAAAAGTTAAGAATTAGGTGCCCTAATGCCATCAAGTCTGGTGATGACTGAATGCTTAAATCTTTTTAACTGTTTTGACAAGTCTTGCTGCAACCCTTGTTGGTGTCTAAGGATTTGTAGCATGTGCATTCTTCAGATGCACTGTGGATTTTCCATTCTGTCCTTTTTGGAAGAATTAACAGGACCTTTTATTTAWTTTTTTAAAAGATCCTTAGCACATGTTGGGCCTCTAAGTCAACCATGGAGATATCCATRCTAAAATGTTACTGCCTTGAATAACAATTGCCTGAATAACAGTTGCTCAGTCATATGACGAGCAGAGGGAAGCGCCCTCTTTCTCCATGTGGAACTTTTAAGCCCTGCTTTGCCCGAGTCAGTTCTGTGACTCACGGAGGTGGGAAGATGCCAATTCCCTTGCTAGTGCTCCTGGCCACTAGCCAGGCCCTCGGCACGGAGAGATCCTCTCTCCAGGCTGTGCCTCTGGCCTCCCAAGAGCTACGGACTTGGGCTTGCTCTTGCAGCCCGGGGGAATTGCCCCGTACAGGTGGTGGTTCTCCAAGTCCATGCCACCTTCTTTAAAGTGCAGGCCATTTGTGTGCCTCTTGGTGAGCTCCCGGTAATCGTCTCTGAGCTGATATGTGACCCCCCGATAATTCAAATAAAAGGTCAGACCTTTGGAAGAGGCGCAGCTGAAGGATACACGAGGGAGAATCTGTTGTCTCCTCTTTGGCTAACTTCAGCGCTGTTCTGAGGATCTGCAGAGCACAGGAAGAGAGGGGAAACTTGGGAGATATTTTTCACCAAAAAATCTGTTTACACCCATGTGTGGATGGGGACTTAGGTGCTGTTACTGGATCTGCGTTTTCTGGCTTTAAATTAATTTGGATTTTACTATAGCCTTAGCCTGGGCTGAACTGGGATAAAGCAATAATAAACTCAGGCCTCCTCAATGCTTCATTAGGTTTCAAAATGGGCCACCTGCATTGCTGGGCTTGAGAGCTCCAAGCTCTGCCCTATACCCCTTGAATGGGATAATMTTTTTCATTCTATTTTGTTTTCCTACAGAGGGTGGAGAATGATGTTTCCTGTACAAATCTCTTTCCTTTTTTATTTGTTGCTTTGTTGAAAGAGATTTGTGCAAACTGACTTTCCACTTTCTGTGTTGCCACTGTCGGTCTCGTAGACCCCATTGCCACCAGTGGCTGCCTGGCCAAGACCAGTAASCACTAGCATCGTTTGGAATCATAGCCCTCCATTTTATCACGTTTTCTTTTGTGGGAGAATGTATGGTACCCTGGTGGGAATTTTTAATTGACACGGATGCCTTACGATGATTGTCAAATTAAACTAAGCTTTGTGGCAAGTTTAGCCCTTTTGGCTGTTTTTCAGTGTCCCTGCTCGAGACACAAGGAAGAGCTAACTTGGTACGTTGCCTTTGTTTTGTTCTTTTTGGGAGGGAGCACACAAGGGGGTTGGGAGCTACTTAAAAGCTGCACAACAAACACTTGGAGAGGGGACAGAAGAAAATAATCAAAAGTCAAAGTATTTGTTGTATTGCAACTGTCTGAAATGCATCAGATCAGCTTCATGTTTGCATCTATGTGCATCAGAACAGGGAAATGTTGGCTGAACCTGACAAGCTGTTTTCTGATTAAAAAATGCAAGATTTTCAGTGTTTCTGTTCTCATCTCTGTGAGATCCCATCAGATAGCTATTTCCATAAGATTTATTCTGTAAAGCACAGAAGCAGAATAATATTTGTTGAAAATATTCTGTGCTTCTTCAGGTACGTTAGCTCTCCTTGTGAACAAGGAGTGCGTATTTACTTTGAAGACATAAATAATTGGGAGCGTGTTTCTGGAAATAAGCCTTCATCTTGTTGATACAGAATAAATTCATGCTTCAGGCTAGCTTCTATCATGATCTATCATAGACTTTGTTGACTGGAAAAGTAGATTGAGATTAAATAGAAACTGTTTATGGGCCCTATCTTTGCTTTTTTTTTTTTTTTTTTTCCTGATATGTTGAAGTAAAATTAATTCAGCAAATCAGTTTTATTTAAGCAGATGCCAAGAGATACAGTTATCTTCCCGTTCTGAAAATCAAAGCTATTTACCTTATTTCATTGTGGCCTTGAGCAGGGTGATACGGGATCTAGAAATATCACTTGTGGAAAAGCTCTGAAAGCTTTAATAAAATGCAATATCACTAACTTATCTTTTTAGCTTTTCATAGTCACGTTGGATGATACGTTAAGTGTAATTCCTGTTAGCTGCACACGTTACTCTGTCAAGCTTTTATCAGTAATTATGCTGCCCTGGTTTTATTATGAATCCTAACTGTGCACTCTCTATTAACCTAGCGCAATTCTAGCAAGCCTCAAACACGATTTAACCAAAGTTTTGTCACATTCTCACACTACAGTGACCTTGACCATTGCCTATTTTGGATACCAGGTGACCTTCTGTGAGCACTTACTGTGCTGTTTGCTTAGGTCAGGTGCACTTCTCTCTGCTTTCTCTGCTTGTATTTGTCCAAAGGTAAAATACCTCAATGCAAGGAACACTTAGATATCACAAGACGCTTGTTTTAACACTTTTAATCATAGATTAGTAACAGCTGAAGGTCATTAGTTCCTGTATAAAAGAAGCCAGAGTGAAATTACATGGTGAGATTTATGGAACTGCTAACAGCTGCAATACAGAATTATTTTTCTGGTTTGAAGACACTCAGTTTGCTGAAGTCCTGACTAAATTGTTCTAGTTGTTAATTATATGCCCTTCTGGAAATATCTCCTTGATTTCCAGTTTGAATTTGTCTAGTCTCAGCTACCAGGTCTCGAAGCTACTGCCTTGTTTGACAAATACAGGAACTGTTTACTGATAGTAACCTCTTTCCCATGCAAGTTCCTCTTGATTCTCAGAGGAGGCAAATTGAGTTGTTTAGTCTCTTGCTGCAAGGTGTATTTTTCTACACTTGGTGTATTGCTTTAGTTCTCACGTGGAGCACAATGTTTCAGCATCATTTTGCAGTGGGATTGCCAGAATTGCGTACTGTTTTCTCAAAAATTACCTCAAATGCTGCTGTCTGTATATTCTGCACCAACTTAAAAAGAGATTTTTATTAATGTTTTTGGATGAATCTTGTTCTTTCAGCAATTACAGTTGTAACTTGGGCACCGGTTAGAATATGTTGTATATTGACATAGTAACATTTTCCTTTATACCTGAGGGGTATAGAGAGCGTTTATTCCATACTCTGGAGATGTGTCTCTTTCGTTTCATCATCTACAGAGAAAGACCAGCTAGTCGGGTTAAATTATTKTCCCTGTGTGAATACTGCCCACCACTGCTTCACCATTTGCACCTTCTATGCTTGAAAACTCATGTCTTTTACCTCTGTCCAGAGAGCTAGGAGTGTGGTGAACATGGCACACACTGTGCTCCACAAAGACGATGCTTGACTATAGTAAAGAGAGACACGAGTGTTCTTCATGCCTYGGTGATTTGGGTAAAAGTTGTAGGGGGATAAATGAGCCCAAGCCATAAATAGTTGATATTCTGCATATAATTTATGGAAGCATCAGCTTCTGGCATTGCTTTAATTTTAATATCTTTCAACATGTTATTCTGGTGTGCTATTGTAAGCAGCATGGAAGCCTGGGGCTGTGTTCTGTCTCATGGTGCATCCAAGGCAGTGGTGCAAGTCTCTGTCTAGCAGTGGAGACCTCCTCAGGCTGAGCAACCCCATCTTATTTAGAAGTGAGACTTTCCACTAGCTGCAGAGTGTACTGTATTACCAAGCTGCTTTGGGTTGTCTGAAAACTGTCAGTGATTTCTTCTATGCTCAGCATAAAACTCCGGTCTCCTCTCCGAGATCTCCCTTAAGCCACAGGGTGAGATTTCGTGCTCTCCCCCTGACCCAGGATGGACCTCTTGTCAGCCCAGGGGTATTGCAAGGACTAGAATGCTTCAGGGCCGTTGTGCCTTCCCAGTCTTGCTGTTGGGATCCAAAGGACTGGAAGAGCTCCCCTGTGCAATTTCAGTACCCTCTATGTGTCAGAATTTGCCTGGGTGGTGGGGAGGGAATCCTAAGAAGAGGCCTCATCCACAGGCCAAATGAACCTTCCTTTTTAGAAGASAGAGGTGAGAATGTGTGTAAACAGCATTGCTCAGATCACTTTCTGCTTGTCTCCCTCTCCTGGAACCATCTGCACTTGCAGAAAAATGTCCAAGGTAGATGAAACCTGAAGACTGTGGAAAATGATCATGAAAACATCATCCAATACGTATCTAACAAAGGATGTCCTGCACATTGAAATTAGTCTGTTACTTAAACACATGGAAATTCCTTTCAGCTGTTTCAATTTCTACAGAAACTGGATCAGCCTCTTGGTATCTGTTCTCTTTTACACAGAAATATGAAGCCTRTTCAACCTATTTTGAAGTGTGTTGAGAAACGGACATAAAGGCAAGTGTCATTTTGTCTTAACGTATCCCCTTCTGGACTTGCTCTCTAAATATACTTGTATTTCTGTCTTCAGGAATAGATGAATCCAGCAATATTGCCAGGAAGGCAACAGAGAAAATCCTCTGTGGCCTTTGTTCTGAAGAGCTTTGGGGTTAGTAGAAACAAAACACTGCTCGCATAACAGATGCGTTTCACTGCTCATTGCCAGCTTTCCAGTCAGTGTAAGCAAAGCATATTTAATATCTTAAGAGACCAAGAAGCTTCCATCTCCTTCCTTCTTGCAGAATCACAGATAAATACACCTAGGTGTTTAAGTTGCTCA